AATGTGCGTGAGAGGGAGGGAGAGAGAGAGAGTGCGAGAGATTTGTGGCGTGGGCTGGAAGGAGAGAACAGGTCTGTACTACAGGGCGACTCACGTGTCACTCAAATGTCACTCCTTGGTTACCGCACGGGAAAAACGACATCCTGGTTTTTAAGCGGTTTTGGAAAAGCCAAGACGCCCTATGGAAGAAAATGCATGGGAACATCCTGGTTTTTCCAAAACTGTTTAAAAATTGGGACATCGCTATTAACGTGCGGTGTTCGAGCTCTCTCGTTTACCGGAAAAAAGACTTTATTGTGGTGATCACGCCTGACTGCGTGACCCGAGAAATGGGTGGCTCCAGTTCGCTATGAACAAGCAGTCGTTAAAACCCTCGTTGAAGTTGAACCTCTGTTCGAGGACTAAATTCGATATCTGAAATCGGGAATCCGATGCCCACTTAGTCAGTTGTCACGACCAGGACACTAAGTCGGGGATTTGCTCTATTCGTACAAATAAGTGTCCGAGTCTCCCTTTTCTCCGCGCTGTCGCGGGAGCTCTGTCGCGGACCTGAGGGGAGGGAAGCGCCCGGCAGGTAGCCTGGCCCGTGAGCCAGCTGTGCGCGGCGGGCGTGCCGATGCACCGGTTGCCAGGCGCCCTCCTGCTGGAGCCAGGAGGGCAGGGAGGGCTACAAGCTGGAATGGAGCGTGCGCAGATGTATGTACATCTTTTGATCCCAACAGAAGGAGCGTAACTTTTAGAGTCCGTTCCAAAGTTGCATGCGCCATCGGCATCGGTCAGAATACTTTGAGTGCGGTACGCGAGTGGTTTGATTTTCCATACACGCGCAGCGCTTCAGGGGCTCTTGCCAACAAAGGGAAATGTCAATGTGCTAAATACTGTCAACGAGGCGAATAGGGGTGCATCCAACTTCTAACTTTGAAATCGACTTTATTTTGTGCTGAAGGTCCAAGTTCTGAGCTTATGCCTTTCTAGGCGCGTTCTCTATTAGACGGGCAATTGAAAAGAACCGGAAAGGGAGGGGGCGGGGATACTCTCACATTCCGTTGTGTTGTCAAATTGAAAACACGAAAGAGTGGGCAACGCTACGTATTATTGTCTTTTCTGCGTCACAAGTTTTATTTTCTCACGACTTTACCTTGGCATATTTCGTTCACTGTTAACGCCGTGGTCGTCTAGCTTGCCAAAATTTTGACAGTCCTTTTTGATTGCCGAATTTTGGCTTCGTTTTTAAAGCAGGCTAACTTTTGGCAAGCAAGGAGGCTAAAAATTGTCAGCCCCCAAAAAGACGACCAAAATTTGGCATGCAAGGAGGCCAAAAATTGGCAGCCTCCAAAAGACGTCCAAAATTTGGCAATGAGAAAGGACTGCCAACATTTTGGCAAGCTAGGCGACCACGGCCTGTCGCTCCTTAATCCATAGCTGACTTTTTTTTAAACGCTGTAGGTCCTGTGAGTATGCAAGAGGGACTTGGTTTAAGCCTTAAGCCCCCCCCCCCCTCATTGCCGTGTGGTGGGAGGGGCGGCCCTAGAGCCCCTGGAGTGGCTGCCCCCGGACCGCAAGCGTCGCCCCCTCACCCTCGCCTGTAAAGGGCGGCTAGCGCTAAGCGGCTTGACCCCGGGGGCCCCGATCCCCCACCCCACCCTAACACGCCGCTCTACGTTGTACCTTGATGTCGGAGACGACTATCGCGCCGCCCCGGCGGAAAAGTCTTTCTCTCCGAAACGTCTTATTTTTTACTATCGCTTTTCTTGTTCTTCGTTTTTGTTATACTTTTACAAAAACTCTCCTGGGCGCTCGGGCGGCCGTGTTACGTCGCGCGGGTCTAGCAACCTGCCGCCATGCGCTGCGCTCCGCTGTGCTCTGCGTCTGACCTTTCTTGGGTCGGCCCGACCCCCGACCCGGCTGGCCTTCCGATTGAATCACTCGACCTCAATGACCCCCTCCCCTCCCCCTCCCTTCTTCCTTCCCGACTAAGACGACACATTGACTCGCGCTCCCACTCCACGGGGCCGCGGGGGCGACTACGCGGTCCGCAGTCTAGCCGCGGTGCAGCAGCACCCGTTGCGCGGCGCGGCACGACGGCCGGGGTTTGCACCCCATTGGAACTTACTACTCGTTAACGAACTAATCAACCTTATGAGCTGATAATTTCCTTACAACATCAACAAAAATAATAGGGAAATAATTGTAACTCTGTACTCTGTACTACAAATTCGCCGTGCCCTCTTCCCCTCCCGGCATGTAACTTCACGTGGTGGCTTCCACCACACGGCCGTACACGTGGAAGTGAGGAGGAGGAGGAAGAGGGTGAGGGGGGTAGGCGTCCGGCTCTGCCCGAGTGATGTGTTGCTGCAGCGCTGGACGCGAGGGCAATGGACCCGACGCACATGCACCGGCACCGTAAAAAAGGCAGCCAAACACCCGAGCGGTACAATTCCGCCGCGCGGTCGCCTGCTGCAGCCGGCCGGGCCGCCCTGTCACGGCGGTCCGGGGTCCGGGCCTCTCGGCCGTGACAGCCGCGTAACGAACGATAAGGTCGTTGTCCGCCGCCGCGGTGGGGCAAGGCGGGGCGTGGCGGCGGGGGTCCGAGTTCAGCGGGCGACTTGACAATGCAGAGGCGTCCGTCTCGCCGGGCCTTCCCTCGCCTCGAGAGGGGTCCTGCTGCTGCTCCCTGCTCCCGGCGACTGAACTGCAGCGCCACCGCGACCGCAGCCGTCGCAGGGCTCAGCGCGCTGAGTCGGATCAGCCAACATGCCCTCGCCATGGCAACCAGCGCGTTTTAGGGCTGCGCCAATTGAAGGGGGTTATATATGTAGGCAGCGGGACGGGGATGGGGCGGCATAGGGGCGGCGTTCGGCCGAAAGACAATCGATGGGTCTAGAGGCCCCTGAGGTAGGCCCGCCGGCCGTGGGCGCCCCCGGGTGGCCACGCTGGCCCCCACCTCGCGCGACCCTGGCCTGGCGTCGTGCGAGTTGCGAGTGCGTGCTATGTGCGGCGCGGCGTCAGCCGTGAGGGTAGGCCACCCATCGGGCGCGCAGCGTGGCGAGCGCCTGACTTCAAAAATAATGTTTAAATCCAACAGAATTGTTTTTTTTTTGTATTATATTAAATTTTACATATTCATGTTTGTGTTGTTGCACTACAAAATCGTCTCGTAATGTGAAAATAATATTTGCTAAAGAACAGCTACATTAATAAAATAACAATTGTTGCTCGGGTTGAGTTTCCGAGTTGTTTGAATTTCAAACTAACGAAACAAAACAGTCATTTCAAAACAGATTTTTTTCGGTTGAATAAGTATTTTGTACAGTGCAGCTGCACCAGCCACCGCCGTGTGCAAAAGTGGAGGTGCGGGGTATCGATCCCCGTACTTCTCGCATGCTAAGCGAGCGCTCTACCATCTGAGCTACACCCCCTGATGAAGGAGGGCCCTCGAGACCCGTTAGTTGTATCACATGCGTTCGGGTGGGGCCTCGTCGAGTCGCGCTCCCCCCTCCCTTCCGCCCTCGTCCCCCTCCAAGCTACCGCCAGGTTGGCGGCGCTGCCCAAACCTCCCATTATGGTAATTGATTTCCCCCAATAAGTGATATTC